ATATCGTTACACCGTACATTTTGTTGGTTTTTAGTAATTTTTTATAAATTTTCTACTCAAATAACTGTTGAACATTCTGGCCGAAATCATGTACACAGACATAGTAAAAAAAAAAAAACAAATCATTAAAAAACCAATTCATTGTATATCAAATATTGTTAAAGGTGTTCATTATTATCTGTTTTAATACGTAGTTCTGAAAAGAACTAATAGTGGTCCTTATAAGGACTCTTTATGAATAGAAGACCTAAATAGTAAAATCTATTTTTTCACAGAAGTCCACAGTAAAAAATAAATAAAAATTAAAATGTAAATAGTCAAATGAAATTTTCCAAAATTTACCAAATTAAAAATAAATAAGTTTCCAAAAATAAAAAATCCATAGCAAGAGAATAAATTATATTTAATGGTAGAAATGTTTAAAAATAAAATACATTTTAAGTATAAAAAATATTTAATACTTAGGGTGATCATACGTTCCGTTTAAGACGGGATTGTCCCTTTTTTATCATTATGTCCCGTTATCTCGACAAACTTTGAACGAGACGCTTTTTGTCCCGTTTTTAAAATAGGGTCCCGTTTTAATCCCGTAACTTCCATAAAAATTGTAAACCGAGAGTAAAAGAAAAAAATAAATAAGATATGTCATATAGTGTATATATATGTACTACGAACTCATGAGAGACTTCTAACGAAATCGATATTAAATACGAATAGTTTACCAATATAAAGTAATATTTATAATTAACGATATTCGGTATAATAGGTATATTAGGTATATTAATCGAAAAATCGAACATGGTCGTGCAGTAACGTGTGTATATTGCAACGATCTTATATAGCCACTGTGTATCAGTTCTTTTTATTTAAATTATAGCGAGTCGTTAGTGTTATCACTTTTATTGTTTTTTTTAAATGCCTAAAAGGAAATATATGTTCACTGTACATTTGCAAATTAACTAATGCAGTAATAGAAAGAATATTTTCAATCACAAATATTTTATGAATGGACGAAAAAAAATCGTTTTATCGTACCAATTGTCAAAGCAATAATAATTCTTAAAAATAATTTTAAAAAATATTCCTGTAATGATTTTTATGATTGTTAACACAACTAAAACTATTAAATGCAATCAGTTCATCAAAAAAATATAATGTCAAAGGATGTGATGAAGATAATTATAAACAATTGACATCAACTCAACAAAAATAAAGAATATTTTAAGTAATTTTTTTCAATCTCACAGTCATAGGCGTGCGCATGGGGTATGCAGGGTATGCCGCTGCATAGTCTGCGGCTTCATGCGAGGGGCCCATATTTATTATTAAGTTAAGAAACTTTAAATTTAATTACCGCCACAGGAAATTTAAATCAATTAAAGCTTGATAGTAATGATATTTCAATGTTGAAGGAAAAATTTAATTTGAATACTACATTTGAGTCTGAAATTAAGCTCATTACAAATATGTCTGATAGAACTTCTATTAGAGGGTCATCAAATAAAACAATTTTAGTATAGCTGAATTGGTTATCAGAAAACGACCGGAAAACAATATTTTCAAATTTCAATAAAGCTTTAACACAATTTGCAACAATACCTGTGACAAGCTGCTCGTGTGAGAGGGACTTTTCCAAATTGTCTATTGTGAAGTCTAAACTTAGAAACACTATGTTACAAGAACATCTTGATTCACTGATGTTAATATTTATCGAACAAAAGATGGCATCAGAAATCAATATTGAAGATGTAATAGATGAATTCAAAGCATGTGTGCCGATAAAAAGAAGACTTGAACTTTAGATTTTAAGTACTCTCCATAAAATAACAACATTATAAATATGTTAAAATTATTCAAAAGCATTCAATATAGTACATACTTGATCTTAAATAAATAATAAATTTTTTTTTAATAAATATAAATCAAATTTCAAACTACTTATTTCTACAGTGTATTTTTTAATATTCTACTGTAAAACTATGTGTGATTTTAGATTCTAAGGGAAGTAAAGAAGCTAAGTAGTATATATGCAAAAACTTAGATTGTGACTTGAATCTTATATGCGTTAAAAGAAAATGCAAATAAATTAAGGGCAGATTAGAAAATTTATTTGTGAGGGGCCCTATATTTCTTATTACATAACCTGCGAATAAAGTCTGCGCACGCATATGCTCACAGTAAAAAAAAAATGCAAATTAATGTTTTATTAAAATATTAAACTAATTAAAAATTATTTTTATTGCATATAATATTGAAGTTAAAAAAATGTGGTCTTTTTTTTAGAAAACATATTTGTCCCGTTTTTTTTTTTTTTTTCATAAACATGGTCATCCTATTAATACTAATATATAAACCTTCAAAAGAATACACAAACATTTCACCAAATATATTAAAAATATAATTATATAAAATGTGATAAATAACTTATTTAAATTGGCAAGTTTTTAAATAAGTTAAAAATAAAATGTATACTTCAACCATACCATTTTTAAACATATCGAATACTTATTTCAAAATAGGTTTAATAAACAAAATTGGTTTTTATATTACTATAAAATAACCAAAAATATTTAGGATTATATTTGATAGAGTTTAGAACATTTGATAGGTAGTTAGAATAATCCCTTTTTTCTTAATAAATTAAATGTTTTGGACTTAAAATATTTTACACTAATGAGAGTTTAACTTAATTTGAGTTATTATTTGAAATATTGTATCATACTTCTTAACATTAAAGCTGCTGAACTGAAGGCACGCAACAAAGTAATGAAATAATTTTGAACAGTAAAGATAATTATAGAATAAAATTTAGAAATATTAGTATCAATATTATTATGTTTAAATAAATTGAACCAGTTAATCTGACTTGTCTCCAAATTAATTAATACTTGGCTCTTTTTTTTTTTTTGTATGTATATAATTATTTATAAATCTGGTTACTAACTTTATTAAATTATTAAGTATTAAAAAGCTAATAGCTATTAATAGATACAGATTGCAAAATTTTTTTAATATAGTAATAAAGTAATTTTTAATAATAACACCTGTTATCTAACTTGAATATATATATAAATATATTTTTGTATGATAATAAATTATGAAATAAATAAATTTAAAAATGTAATAATTTCTTTTGCAGTATGTAACAAAGGTATTTAATGTGGTAATGCATAGGCATTTTTCATAATTTTTAAATAATAGGTATAGGAAATCACAAATAGTATTAGGAAATTTAATATAATTTGACTTAAAAGATGTAATTGGTATTGGTAAAATAGAAACACTAGCAAAATATTTTCCAAATAAATTTACAATAGGTAGCCACCTTCAGCTTCTTGATTATTATAATTTATTAGATTTGACAAATAATGATTAGGTTTTATTACTATAAAATAACCAAAAATATTTAGTATTATATTTGATAGAGTTTAGAACATTTGACAAGTAGTTAGAATAATCCCTTTTTTCTTAATAAATTAAATGTTTTGGACTTAGAATATTTTACACTAATTAGAGTTTAACTTAATGTAAGTTATTATTTGAAACATCATATCATATTTCTTAACATCAAAGCTGCTAAACTGAAGGCATGCCACAAAGTAATGAAATAATTTTGAACAGTAAAGATAATTATTGAATAAAATTTAAAAATACTAGTATCAATAATATTATGTTTAAATAAATTGAACCAGTTAATCTGACTAATCTCCAAATTAATTGTATGATACTTTGCTCTGTTCCAATTGTATACAATTTCATTATAATGAAGATTATATACATTATTAAATACAACATTATAATTTATTTCTAGAAGTGGATGGTATTGATCAACATTTACAACAGGAAAATTGTTTACAGATAAGTTCATGGAATTAATGTTTAGGATTACATAATCAAGAATCATTTTTTGAGTTAAAAATATTATTAAATTTAAGCATATTTAAATAATATCAGAAAAAAAGACATTTGAAGACATGGCCTTTTATAAAATTTTCATATTTAATAATTTGAATTAAGTGTTGGACCACAAACAATTTGATAATAGATTAAAAAAGTAGTTCATCAACTAAATCAAACTCTGATATTTAAGATGAAGTGGTATTCTTTTTGATGTATTTTATTTTATTCTTAAGATTGGAAACTTTGTTATTCAAAAGAGTTATTGGTATATAAAGTATATAAAAGATGTTATTGGTCAAAAAATTATTTATTTGTGCAGTCAGATCATTAAAAAAATGTTTAGCAAGATTTTTAATGTCTTACATTGATAATTAATGGAACTAATCAATTAATTTGTTTATATTTTAATTAATTAGTGATTTTTATTATTGAAATTCATTGTTCTTTTATTGTAATACACAAAAATTAAATTTTATAAATCAGAATAAGAGAATGATGAATAGATAATTAAATTTAATCACTCACACATACCGAACCGGTAGAAATAAGATGGTGAGACATTGATCCGAGATAATAGAAAAACATAACACACATAAGTTATTCTGGCACAACAGACTATACAAGACTTTATTAAAAATTTTTCTTACAAGGAAAATATTATTATGCTCTAAATCTAGTCACGGAGTAGAGGTATTTTATGATTTTATAAGAATGCCCTACCTGCATTTTTAGGTTTAAGCACTACTAGGGTACTGTTGATTTATCTAAATATCTAATCAAATTCACCTAACAATTACTTAATAGATTCAGATTACCTATACCAATACATTCAATAAATTAGTTTAAGTAAATGAAAATAAGTAACTCTTATGATAGTATAAAAGATACATTTATGAATAATTTAAACAAATCTAAAAAACCGTAAGCAAACTAATCTGGTGCATGAAGTGTTTACTTCAGACTTAATAAGGAGTATGGAAAATATCTAAGCTAAGTTATTTATATAATATATAGATGTATATCTACGACCTAGGTTGGTTATAAACCCCCTCTCCGGGGGTATTTTTGAAATTATCACTGGATACAATTAATATACTTACCGAAGAACGATGAGAATCCTTATGAGTGACGCGATACGTGTGTATAGGGAGTATTAAGTATATATTTTACGGAATGTACCATTCACGCGCAGCGCGATCTGATCACTGGTGACAACTCGAGTCCGGAACCAGAAGGAAATTCGGGAGAAGTTAACATAGACTTTAACGAAACGCTGGTCCGCGCGCTTGAGCAATCCGATGTTGAATTACATGAGTAGTGGTGTTTAGAACTCGACTAGCGATAACAAACAGCTCGAGTTCTCAACAAGAGCGCTGAAAAAGATGATCGATGAGTGAAGGACACGGATACGAGAGGAGCGCACACGACAAGTGCATAGAGAGCGATAAGGTCCGAACAGATGGGATGTGGAACCAACGAGATACGGCCGTGAGATATGTACGCTGTTAAGAGCTAATGATGGAACGGATAATATAGTGCGTCGCGATAACATTTTCGAGGTTAGGACTGACCAACGTCACTTCTTACCGATCGTGTACCCAAAACGTAGATAAGTATTGTTCCGGACGTCCCGTCGCGTTCGCGTCCGAGGCGCGAATGCTAGCGCGCAGCGGCTGTGTCGCGTGAAACGCGATTATCGAGCAGCGGAACCACGGTTATCTACTCTACCATCGATGAAAACCGAACGCTTCCGCACGATCCAACCACAGATGTGCATAAAAATATATTCATTTATTTTACTTATTTCTGTGGTCGTAACCCTGATTAAAAAACAGTTCGCGCAACAGCGGATGTTAAAATTTATCGAGTGTACGGACGAACAGGGAAATCGTCACCGGAGACCCGTCGGCCGGACGTGCGCAGTACCCGCGATGTCCGTCCGACCCCGGTGGCCACCCGTTCTCGCATGCAAACTATTGTCTAAGGCCGTCCGCCACCGTACTACATGATATGTAGTATACATTATATTGGTTTACCGTATTCTATGTGCGGTAAAAACCGAGAAAATTATTTTATTGTATTTTTTTTTTTTTTTCATTTTTCTTATTGACATAACTTTTTGCTGATTTTCCGATTATTCGGGTACAATTGTTACAAAAATGTATTCGTTTATTAATCGTTTACTCCTACGGTACACCGCATATCACATGCTCATGCCCCTCCCCCCCTACATCCGGTATAGGTCTGTAATAAACAGTGACTACAATATGACCGCCGCTCTATGCTACAGCATTACACTGCAGTGATTCATTAGTTACTATAATAAATTATGATTGATTCGTTTACACAGCGACAATCACAACCATCGTACAAAATGAATCGTCACTTATGGTTGATTTCACCAATTATGCATAAATCGTGATTACAGTGATCATGATGAATAAGTTAAACGTGATTAAATCTAACTTGGATTTCACCATGTCAATCACGGTTCCACAAATCGCGATTACGGTCTATTAGTCGGGAAAATAACTAATAATAGGGATCTTTTCCGTTAATGCATGCTTCATTTTTTGGTTTCCGTTAATTCACTACCGCACGATAATGTTCTATTGCTCTAAAAACTGTATCTTATCCGTCGGTTTTCGTTTGGGCGTTACTATGGTTAATTTTGACCTTTCTCGTAAGACATTTGCGCATTGTTCAATTGTTGGGTTATACATCATTTGCGCATTTACCGGATAAAATATTACACATCATTTGCGCATCAATATTATAGTAGAACTAAAAAATGCGTATATTGGCTTAAGTATACCTACCACCGGCGAAATAAATAGGCTTCGTTTTGTAAAAATAATTGGACATAACAATAAGCCAAGTACTGTTTTTTAATAATAATTTTAGTGCTTAATGTATTTATGTATTTATTTATATTTATTATCAATTAATTTAACTCGAACTATATATTATGTATATATTTTTTATTTATCTATAACTATAATTTGCTGAATTGATAGAACACAATTTTTTTAAATTCATTTATAATCAAATAATCAAATTTACAATAAATTATTTAAATCTTAAATTTTTAACTACAGAATAATTTGTAAATGCTTATTTAACAAAAACGTATGTCTATATTTTATTTTACACCCTTCTATTGTTCGTTATGTTAATGCGCTTATGACGTACGATATTTTGGCACAGACAAACAGACGATGCGCAAATGCATAACGGCCATCTTATCTGATCGCTTTAAATTATAAATAATTATAACCAATTTTATCGCTTATTGTTTTCTGCAAACAGCGCATTCGGCGGTCGATCATTAAATGGATTTGCGTAGGTTACGTACCATGAATTTTCTTACTTTAGCTGGTAAATACGATAACATAAGTTAGAATAAATCACATCAAATAAAGTTGGCTACTAATTATTAAATTTTCCTTTCCCTATGTTTCACCACTTTGATTGTATCCTTTGTCATTGTTATGAAGTCCAAAGTAGTGCAACATGTATTTTTAACGAAGCTTTTTTTTGTCAATAACTTCCAAAGTAGTACAATTTTTATTATATAATACCGCCATGACAATGGCTGCCCCGCTCTGTCTGAAACTATATTTATCGCATGTTTTTAATACAATAATAAAGCATAGTCGAATTCAATGGTAGATTAATTTTCATTAACTGTCTTGCGGGATTTTGTGATTGTTTTTGAAATAAATTATCACCTTTACTTTTATATTCACTTGATGTAGACGAAATTTAAGTATTGAGCTTTATTTGTACTTTCTGTTTAAGAATTACTCTTTGCAATTTTTGTCTCGTCAACTTTCTTTTCAAAGTATTTCTCATTTGATTTTTCGTGTTGATTTCCATTGATCCTATTACTGTTTTTCTCGATGTACGTTGGTCGATTAAAAAGTTATATTTTCTCACAGGTATTTTTTTTTATTCTTGGACAAATACAATTTTTGATATCTTTACACTTACATATTGCAATATTAATAAAATTTTACTACGACACACATTGACTAATTTTTTATCTAGTATTTCAGAATGGGATATAAGTAGATTTCAGAATTTTAAATTATATGCTTTTAACATAACTTTTATTCGTTTGCATTCACCGAAAGGTATAGAAGCTTTTATCTATACATTTTTAACTGTTAAAATTACAATCGTTTTTATTTCATTATATGTTATTATATTTATTTTTATGTTATTCAGTTATTTTATAGTTTTATTTTCATATTTTATTTTGTGCCGGATTTATTCGTAAAATTTATAAATTCTTTGTACGTTGGCAACGTACTATCTTCAATGTCACAAGAATCACCAAATCAAGAACATTTCCAATCGTTACGTAAGTACGTTCCATTTTTTGCAATACGTCCAACGACCGTTGGTTACATCTGATCGTCTTTAATCAACCAGTAGTGATTCCCTCACATTAGTTGTTCGCCTAATACATATTACAACAACGACAGTCGGCAGTATATATCTAATTATAATTTATATATTGGTAACCATTGTAAAAATAAAGTTACACCATTGAATAAAATATAAATATTAATTACAAGTATGATCACCCAAATATATCATGTACATTATAAACACCATATAAATCGTAGTGTATATTGTATTTATAAGTAGACAATATGCACTGATGTCACAGATTTATTTTCATATAATTTATTAACGTAATTAACGTATTTATGAACGTTGTGTTTAAATATATTTATAATTTATGTTTTTTCTTGATAAAATATATAATTTATAATTTAATTATAAATAAAAAAACATAAACACAACGCTTGACAACACCGCATATGATTCAAGACGTCTTGGAAAAAAAAACACCGTATTGCGCCATAGACATATATTATCTTAACATGTCTAAGTATCGCGCATAGCGCGTCGCGAAAGCTCACCACTCAAGGTCAGTTCGCATTGCTCCCAGTTATACGTCCTCGTTCGGTTTATTTTCGTCAACGCTCATCTCTTATCACCCAACGCATTCCGATATGCAGGCTGCCTCATCATGCCGAGAATACCCAAAGAATTCGCCACCAGTTTATTGTAGTATTATACACACAATCATAGGCGTGCGCAGACCTCTTTTTCAGGGTATGCAAAAGGCTGCTACTACCTACCCCCCCCCTAAACTGAAATTTAATTTAAGCGTTCGAAATTCTGGTCTTAATAACTATTTAATTTAAAATTTTAATTTTTTTTCCTGAAAAAAGTGACTGAATAGCCATTTCTTAATCATTATAACTGTCTTCATAATTAATTAAATAATTATTAAATTATGAAAAAAAAAAAAAAAAAATTAAATACATAACACTTGAAATGATTTGAGTAATACGTTTAAATAGGGTAAATAAATAAAAAAAAAATTGGTGCGTCGCGGGACGTACCGCAAAAGTGAGAACTATATTTTCAGATTAGATATTATGATGGCATGATATGATAAATGTAATTGATTATAAAATTGTATCAATGTTAAGTCATTATTTTATTATAAATGCAAAATATTATTACAATATAACAATCAAATATACATATGGTCATCTTAATATTAATTATTTTCTACTAATACAATGATAACACTTTCAATAGCTCGTGCAGGTTCTACATTAACTTTTAATTTATAAATTATCACATAAATATTAACTATTTTTTTCGGGTTCAACAGCAACGCTTTCAATATTTGGTACAAGTTCAACATCAACATTGTTATTATCTACGGGTTCAATCGTAATATTTTGTCTGTTTTCTAGTGAAATTGATGAAACAATGGGCTTATGATAACTATAATATGATATAAATGTTTTCGATTCAAGAGTATCGATAAATCGAGAGAAAACTGCATCTAATGTAGTGCCATATCTTGTTGTACATTGCAAGGGATCATTATTCATTGTCAAATTAAAATTTAAAAATTAAAAGTTTCTCACATAAAATAAAATTTAAAGCGGTGTCCGGCGATACGTAGTAATCCGCGCGGTATATTTTATATAATATTATCCGCGATATTACGCGCCGTGTATACACAGAGTTGTATAAAATGAAATGAAAAAAAATCTATGCTTGGCTGCTTGCGCGCACACAGATGCTGAAGAGGGGAGAGTAGCATCTGTTATGCGTGCGCCCCGCACCATGCCCCGTCATCGGACGGACGCGGATGCGGACGTTCAACGAAATAGATCCCCAACCAAGCGCGCGCAATAAAGTTCTCACTTTGAAAACGTAATTACATACTTAAATGAAAAACAAAATAAATTTAACAAATAAACAAAATTAATCATAAAATGATTCTGCGTACAGTAGAGTTCTTAATATCACCAATAATGTTTTTGGGATTTTAATTTATAGCTATTTCTTGTTTTGTAGTTGATAGCAATTTAATCTCGCTTGAATTATTGTACTTCTTAATTTCATTAACACATTAAATCGTTATAGCATATGATTTGTTTTTCAAAAATAAATTAAACTGTTTGGGACTAAATATAAAAATATGATAAAAATCATAATGTAATACAAAATCACATAACATACATAAGACCAAATATGTCACAATTTTCATTTATTTTTTGTAGTTTTAAAAAGAAGGCTCTATGTTTAGGGTATGCAGTTGCATACCCTGCATATCCCCTGCGCACGCCTATGCACACAATGTATGTTTTATACATTATAAATCCGTTTTATAGAATCTCTGCGATTTACACCGTTGTCGGGTGTATGGTCGACCGTCTACAACAGCGGAAATGGGTTCTGGGATGTTTTTAGCACTACTAACGGATCGATGTTTTTCCGATTTCTCTGTAAAGAACTGTCGATCGATTATTATTTTTTCTATCAACTGTGGACGTGGGGGTTCGGACGTTTTTAGTTGTACGTGATACTGCCGATGAATGTATGTTTTTCTAATTTTTCTTAACAACGTAAAGCTTATGGTATTTATTATAGGCGCAATTAGAGTAAAAAAATTGGGGGGCTTCAGCCCCTCACATAAATTTTTCAATTACCGCCTCTCAGAAGTTTCTTTTCCACCCTTTACCCTCTATAAAAAATGTGATTATTGAATGGCAAGCAGTGCTCGACTTGAAATGTATTTTATTCGTTTTTTCAGTAGTAATCACATATTTTTTTTTTATTTATTAATGTAATAGTATACAGTTCTGTATGATTTTTTTGGGGGGGGGATTTGAATGTTTTTGAGGGGGCTTAGCTCTTTTAGCCCCCCAATCGCGCCTATGTTATTCATCAAAAGGGAAACATAAAATAACTAAATCTACAACAAAGTAACACACGTGCAGCTGATCCAGTCTCTGGTTCCTTATTACAGATATACGCCCTTTATATAGGTACTATCGACCTGTGTTAATGGGATCAATGCACATCATGGATTTGTAACACGTTAATGTTCATTACCTATATAAGTTACCTTACTGCTAAAATGATTAGTTATGCAGATAAAACTGTTATTATTCTTTTATCCAATAAGGACATCAAAACTCCGATTCTAATATTCTATTAAAAATGTTAATAATTGGTTTTACAACCTACTAGAACTTAATTACGAATGAACCTAGATATGTATATTTCAATATTGTTATAAAACTAACTAGCAATAATTATGAAATATGAACACATACAACAAAATGTAAGGTAATTGTATTAACTGTATATCACTGGATCAAGTTATTATAAAGTATAATCATAGATATCAAATTAAGATAAAATAATATAAAATAATTTAATGAATCCGATAAGAAAATTCTTCTATATATTTCATGAGGTTAGATTTATTTTTATTGTTAACAAAATGCGCCCAACATATATTTTATTGGTAAAACCTATATCAGCTAGTATATTTATGGTATTAGTATTTTAAATAGGTAGCATTTGATTTGTATATTTATTAACTTAAAATTACACTAAAATGGCTAATTAAATTTGTATTATTGAAACCACTTTTCTGTATTTTTAGAACTCTATGTATCTAGCCTTCATAATTTTATTGTAAAAATATTTTAATGAGTTTGTACAGATCTAAGCATAACATTGTCTGGGTAAAGCATTTGTGTTTTACTCGTTACATACAAAATATTAATATTTGTGTACCTACATTTTTAAAAAAAAAACTTGGTTTAAATAGCTACATATCAAATTCTACCCATGGGTATATTCATATATTTATAATTGTAATATATATGTTTTTAAGTCTTTTATTAGAAATACAGAATTTTCTGAAATTTAATTATTGAAATTATATTAATATCAACTAAATAATTATTTATAGTAATTTATACTTGTAAAATCAATAATTTATTTTGTTTCATTTAAGATAGTTTATTGATTACTTTCTTGTATCTTGATTATTATTTCTATTTTCTATATATATAAATATATATATAGTATGCATTTTTTAATAATTTATTTTATGTTATTATAAATTTTTAACGTTTTAATTTTTTATTTTATTTTAATATTATAGTAACAGTAAAGTGATTTTTAAATAAAATATACAATATTATAATCAATGGTTAACCAGTAGATACTTTATATACATTTTTTTTGTCCCAAATGCTTTCTATATAGATATTTATTTTTGATTGGTTTGTAATTGAATTACGTAATATTTTAATATTTTCAATAAATGTAAAATGTATACACATAAAAACAAAAAAAAAAAAAATGAATATGGATATTTTCTTTATTTTTAAAATAAATGACATTAATATGAGGACAATAGGAATGGATATCAAAATATGTTCACACTGTTAAATAAATAATGAATGAATAAAATCTATACATAATCTAAATTCAATGGACATTAAAAATTAAGACACATATTAGGGGATGACACACTAGAATATAATATAAATAATATAAATGTAATATAAATTATAAAATTAAGACTTCAGAAAAAAAATGTATGTAAATCTCAATTATAGTTTTATAATTAAAAGAAAACATTAGTATACTATTATAGTATAGATCAGTAAAAAAAATGATAAAACTAATAAAAAAAAAAAAAAAAAAATATAAATAAGTGTATTAAGTATGATTTCATATCAAGTTGTAATTAACCTTTATATTAAAATAACTTTATTCAAGTGGGAAAAACAATGGAAGATACTTCTCATAATATTCTTTGTCTTCATCAAGAAATACGCAGAAGATTATACGTTCAATCTGAAAAAAAAAGTTTAAAATTGAGTGTTTGTTTATAACCATACAAAAAAAAAAAAAAAAAAAAAAAATAACATAAAACCTTTTCAGATATTTTTATAAATACCCAAATAAGAGTACACAAATGATTTACTACTAAATTGATAATAAACTGTTAATAATAACATTAAAAAAGGTACACCTAACATTAATATTATTAGAAAATTAAGAAGACATTTAAATTTATTTCCCATCATAAAAATTTAAATTAGTTATGCATTTATATTTATTATAATAATAAAAATATAACTCAATATAGAGTATATTAAAAAAATACTAATTACAAATGTCTTAACTAAACAAAACTTAATCAAATTTATACAAATGTAAACACATTTAATGAATCATGAATTATAAAAAACAAAAATGTTCTATTGTTAATAATTAAAAATAATAAGAAAACATTATTAAATATATACATTGCTACCAGATAATTCTTATAGCATCAATATAAATAATAAAAATAATATAAGTTTTTTCTGAAGTATTATTGTATAATACATATGAATAAACAGTTAAGATTTTTAAAATCATTATAACATAATTAAAATATTTATACTGAATATAAAAATGAAATGAAAGAATATTAATTATATTTATTTACAATTTTTTAAAAAATAGAAAATTTAATTTAATAAAATAATTGAAGTTTTAAAAAGCAGTCAATTTTTTAAGTGTTTTTGTCCATATAAATATATATTACAAGCAAGAACTTTTATTTAAATTATATTAATACTGTAAGAAATATTTAAGAATTTGAATTAATTAATTATACATATATTTTCCTATCAAAAAGATTATATTGAACATATTTAAATATATATAAAAAAATTTATAGTTAAAACTCACCATGAATTAACAAATTATGAATATTTAAAGCTTTAATTTGGAATCTTAAAACACTTAGTATTAAGCTCTATATAATGAGTTATTTTTAAAAAGAAAAGAGCTAGTTAACTGTAATAACATTAATATGTTTTTTTCTTAAAAATTACATTAAACAGTATTATTAATAGTTTATAATTTAATATGTAAATGCAATCAACAAATTAATTTAATCGATGTAGTTAAGATTTACCAAATTATGATCATGTTCTAAAAAGTCCCTTATAACTCTCAATGCAACTATAGCTGCTTCTTCTTGTGGATAACCTAAATATTTAAAAATAATATAATATATATATATATATATATATAATATAATTATAAAATGAAAAAAAAAGACAATTATGTTATATTTACCATAAACACCAGTTGAAATGCACGGAAAAGCCTGAAACGTATAAATTATTAATATTAAATATTTATTATTTATAAATATTAATTATTTAAGTGTAAATGAGAAACAACTTTTAAAAACTATGGACCAAATACTCACAATTGTTCTTAACTTTTTTTCAACAGCTAAATTCAAGCAACTTTCATATGCTGTTTGTAGTTTGTCTTGTTGTTCTCCTCTTGGTCCAACTGTATGAATAACATCTAAAATAATAATTTACATATTTATCAATTATAATTTATTGATGTTCAAGTACTACCAACTAGAGGCAATTCTTCGTTCAAAAACTTTTTCCACAGATACCATTAGCAATCTCACTTACACTTATTTTAAATATTGTTTTTTATAGATTATGTAAAACAATTTAAAAAATTAAAAAAAAAAATTCTATATATAAATCATCTTATAATTGAATATTGAAGGTATTGAAATTGTTTTCTTTCTTAATTTTTTTTTTTGGAGTTTCTTATTTATTAATCAAGTATTTAAGAAATAATTATAAATCTTAGAGTTATAAACAAGTTTAATTCATAATATATATTCAAATACTTATACTGTAAATGAAAAACTAAATTCAAAGGATTAAAAATTAATCATAACTTAGTATTTATAAAACTAATTTATTACCATTATATTTTAAAATTTACTTCAATTTTTTAAGTATTAACATCTTGTGTATATTGTATATAATCAAAACATTAATTGAAATGTTTGATTGTGTACATACACTTTCATCAATTAACAAAGTTTTTCTAAAATGTGGATTTTTTAAAATTGTTAAATAAACTTTTAATTTTTTATACTTGAATTATTTAATTATATATATATTAAGTTATTAAAAATAATAAGTATTAAATTCTAATAAATTCTTTATAAACAAGATCTATGATTACCTAATAATAACTATAATGAAATTAATGCATGTTATAATTATAAATTAAAACCTACACTTTGCTGGAAGCTTATATCCTTTAGTGATTTTAGCGCAACCCATTTTACATCCATTCAATGTTAAACATTCTTCCTTGAGCTTACTTCCAGCAGCTCTATGAATAGCACCGTCAACTATAAATTAATGTAAATAAATTATACAAATATTTAACTTGTAAATAAACATTAATGTTGTATTTGCACATACCTCCACCACCACCAATCAATTCATTATTGGCTGCATTCACAATTACATCCAAAGCCAGTTTAGTAATATCGCCTTGATAAATAGAGACTTTATCATTTAATTTCTTATTAACATTTGGTTTTGGACCATTGAGAGATTTTAAAACACTGGGTCTAACTATAAATAAACAATAAATATGATTGTAGGCAAGTTATACTCAATTTAAATTAATTCATATGAAAATTGTAGCAATATTTATTTATAAATAAAATGAGTTAATATTAATATCCATCCCATTATATATTTTAATTTGCAAAGCTTAAGTTATTATTATAATAAAAAATATAATATATTTCTTCATAAAAATTGCAAAATAACAGATTTTTGATGCAAATAAAAAAATAAAAAACCAAAATATTTTTATGTTGTTTAGCATAAGTAATATGAAAGTTTTTTATTTTTTAAACATGCATTTTCTATTTATACTATTTATAAAATATGTAAATAAATAGTTTATATATAGAAATAAATAAATAAATTCTTAGTCTGAAGTATTATTTTAATGGTTCAGTATGACTGATTTCAAACTAAAAATGTACTTATGTACATATACTATTTATTTATATACTCATTTATGAGTAATAACAATTTACTAGTTTTTATTTTTTTTTTTATTATATGATCAAAAATGTTCATTAGTATATAAAAACCAATGAATTAGTAGATGTAGTTAAAATATTTTTTTAAAAAAAGTTTCATAATTAATGAACACTACTCATTTCCTTGTCATAGAATGTAAATATAATTAAAATTATTTTTTTTTTTTTTATAATTAAGTGGTTTTCAGATCATTTACAACATTTATACATATATTATTTCAAATATCTGGTTGAAAATGATTATATTCCACAAGTAAGCAAAACATGTAATATTTTTTTGTTTGATAATCATCTGTAATTTAAATGATTATGTGAAGTAACCTACCTAATGTCAATTATGAAATATTTCTGAAACAGATATAGAAAATGAATGAATGATTTAATATACAGGTTCAGTAAAAACTGATTACAAACACAAAAAATCAATACAATCATGTTATTGGAACAAAATCCTTTGGAATGGATCAGCCATATTAATAAATTGGAAATTTTAATAATTATTGAGAAAATGTTGTCACTTATATCACGAGAAAACATTAAATGAAAAAACCCTATCATCATTTCGAATAATTCCATTGCAGGAAAAAAGGATGTAGTAGTAGAAAAAGACGACCGAAGTACACGCAAATCTGAACAAATACATAGTAAAATGGTAAACTATTTAACACGACTCGCCGATCGGCCTATGAATCAAATGGCGTATACGGCGGTCCACCATTTTGAAGTCTCATGTACCACGGCACACACACACACACACACACACACACACACAGGAGAAAACGTAATAAAATATCAAAGGAGTAAAATATTTTATCTCGGGAATAACGTGAAACGTATTGGTGTACACGGTGTAACAAAACTCGACGACGACGACGACGAGATATAATAACTTGATGAAAAAAATGATTCGACCCAACCTAACCGGTGGAATCAATACGACGACGCAATAAGCCATGAACGCGAATCGGTGTCGGTTACCGAGAAGAACAAACGAGCAATTTGATGTGTTCGTGTGCTTACTCGTGCCGTTCAAAACCTGTTCGAAGTATATGGGCCATGTCGGTATGGAGTCCAAGCCGATTGTGGTCATTTTCGCGGAGTGCGCGGTAAAACGTATACTGTGAGAAAAAGTGTAAACGAGCGGACGTGCGGCAGACAAACGGAACGGGTGAGCGAACAAACTCCAATACAGTAGCGCGTTCATCTGACGTGCGCGCGATCGTTCGATAGTCAGTTGATGGGGACGACGTGTCGTCGCCGCCGGTCGGAGGTTATCGGCGATACGCGTATGACCGTATGTCGCGTAGGCCGTGTGGTGTCGGTTCCGCGGATAACGTGATTGTTGTGGACGACCAGACGTCTATTACCCGTTTTGTGTTATCCACGGGATCCAACCACAGCCGTGTTATATGTTTTAACAACCACAATCTTATCGACGGACAACGAGAGATAACGACGACGACGACGACGACCTAGCTTTGCCCCTCCGTGATAACGCACGTTCGTCGAAAAACATCGTTGTCGTCCGAGTGCCAGCCCGTACGCAGTACGCAAAACCGCACACACGCACCCAACGAGCACGGTCAGTCGCGTTCGTCACGTCACCGTGAAAACCGATTCTTACCGAGCCCACCGCCTTCGTCGCGTCTCCACGACCGTCAGTCGCTCCGTACGTTCCCGGGTCCCGAGCACACGCCCACTCTTAGTCACAGCCATGGTGAGTACATACCGAAGGCCCGTAGCTATCGCGTTAAACGCTATCGTAACGTCTTCGCTTTATCCCTTGTCGGACGCAATTCTCGTTCGATTTTTAGTACCAACAGGCGTAAGCGCATTACGTGGTTTGGCTAGAGCGTCGAGAAGGTTTTCTCGCCGTTTTCACACGTCATCTGTGACCGGTCGATAAGGGTGAATAATATCAATCGCAATATAACATAACAAAATCTATATATTCGCTCGTTTTTATTCCATGGGATGTCCCTTCATAATTATTATTTATTAAGTTTTGAGAAGCATAATTATGATTTATGATTTCAAAATTCAATGCTCATAATAAATAGATATTTAATAATATTTTTTATTTGTAATAATTCCTTTGTTGCCATTAATTACCTAATATCATTATTTTTGGGCAATATTTACATAGTTTCCCCTTTTAGTAGCTTTTCTACTTATCAGAATATTACCGACCATTAAGTATAACAATTTATATTACTCATTCTTATATAATATCATTAACACCCTATATATGAATATGTGATAAAATACCGTAGTGTTTATGACTTAAAAACAGTATCTATATTTAATTTTGCCTCATAATTTGTCTTACAGTTACCATTGTGTCAAAGTATAACGTTCGTATTGTAAATTAGTATATATTTAATATTAAAAAAAATATAGTATATAAAAATAACAACTTATAAAAATTAAATACATAAGTACTTATGAATTATAATTAATTTTTAATTTTAATACATTTTACTCTGCATATTTTGTGGGGTTTTTTTTTTTTTTAACTAAAATGCATACATATTAAAGTCATTTTAAGAGTATTAACATTAGAAAAACTCTGGAGATTATATATTGTATGTCCACATCATAAAATGTTTTCAATTATTTTGGTTTATTAAAGGAATGTTTATAATAATAATAATAATAATATTATTATAGGAATGTTGGAATGTTAAAGTATCTATTTTATTAGTTTTATTGTTTTATTGCCTTATTCATTTTATACTTTGAATTATGGTAGTTAAATTATATATTTTAAAAATTTTTTTGAAGTGTATACCGAACGAAAATAATTTTTAGATAGAAATTAAATACTATCTATTTGAAAATACTTATTTATACATTTAGATAATTTATTTAATATATCTCATTGTAAACAATATAACGTTAATATATATATAATATGGCTTATCTGAGATTTATAAAACTAATTATTAATGGAAGAGGGGAATTTCAAAATTTTTTAAAACTATTATAGATACCAAGTTTTATTTTTATTCCTATAAATTAATTAGTTTTTGCATATATATAGAAAATATAACTCAAAATAAGAAAGAATAAAACTTCTAGGATATATAATACTACAGTCAGGTTAGGTATAGAAATAGATGAATGATATTGCTGTATTCATTTTTAAAAACTTGAAACAAATAAATAATTTGTCTAGAAAAAACTTACGAAAAAATGATTCTGAGCGAAGAAAGTTTGAAAAATCAGTTAGTTTTTCTAAATATGGTTTTAAAGTAGAAGATTTATATTTCTTAACAAGGATGTTAAAATTTAATGTTCTAACTTCACAAATATAAAAAAAAAAGGCATCTAGCATTTGGAATATTCAAGAATTTCAAATGCCTATAACAACATAAATTTTGTTAAAATCTTTTGTAATTGTGGAATGTCCAATATAATTTAATTTAAATTTGTTGAAATATCTGATTTTGTCAACATTTCACTTTGTTATACTTATAAAACCTTGTTGCAACTTTTGAGTATCATTTTTTTTTTTTTTTTACTATCATAGAAATATGATGAAAATTTTAGTAACAAATTGAAAGTGATCTAAATTGAAAAAATAAATCTTAAATTAAAATATATTTTATGATTTATCATCTCTTTAAATATTTTAAACACCTAAAAATGTTAAAAAATCTTGTAAAATATAAGAAATGAGGATTTTGATTCTTGCAATATTTTATGATGGAATTTGTTATATTTGTCAATAAAAATTCATAGAATTGTAATTGTCTAATTGAAACTAAATTTCAGTGAATTCTGTGAGAACTTGTTAGAATAAAATTATTTTTTTATAATTATTAATTAATTTAGGTGTCTATAAAGTGATCTAATTTTAGTTACATTATTTTTAATATTAAAATCGTATTTATCAAACTTTAATTTAACAAGTTAATACTTAAAATTGTTTAAAAATATATTGTTAAAATAATTCTTAATTTTTATAGCTTATTCGAATAAATATTTTATTGGTATTTTTAGTATACATTTAAAGAAAATAAATTATAATTTAAATAATTTATAATTAAAAATTTATATTCTGTTAATATATAAAAGTAATCTTGTGATTCAATATTAAAAAAAGAATTACTTATTTTATTTATAACAAAAATATTTATATCATTGTCAAATATCAAATATCTAAATATTTTTTTTGAATACTTAAAAAAAAAATTTCTTTATTTTCAAGCAAATGTATTTTGGATCATTTCAAAATTAATTGACATTACTAGAATTTAATCTATTAATAATGTTGTCACTGAAAATATCTATGATTTAAATTACACTTTTTTTTAAAAATACAATTAAAAAATTTGATTTTATCAATTTTAAAGTTTCTATTGACTTTAATTTTAATTTAACCAAACATTGTTTGTCTATTTTATTATTTTAAACTATTATTTTGTATGACACATTGATGTTAGAATTTGTTTTAATATTTAGCTATTTTTTTATGTGTTATGAATTTAGAAATACATAGTTTGCATTAAAGTTCTATTTTGTTTCAACATGATATCAAATTTGAATATGACAGATATCCAAAATCTATAGTACATTTAATAATTTATTTGAATTAAATCAAGTTGTTAGTTCTATTTAATATTATACAATTATGTGAAAGAAATTACATCCTATTATTAATATTTTCTTATTTTATTTATTATTAAAAATTCTTAAAATTTTATTTTATTTGTGTAATATTCATTTATAATAACTATAGTTAATATAAATCATAATTATAATCATTATCATAATTAAGATACAATACAGAAGATTAATTTTAATATTTTTGTTTGTATTGTATGAATAATAAATAATTAAATAATTATAATTATTTATATTAAATATTTTAATCAAATTAAAATAAACTATTTTATATGTATATTTTTTAAATAAGTGAAATAAAATAAAACTTATTTATTTCTTTATTGTGTTTAACAATTGTTTAATATACAATTTTGAAAATAATTCATTTTTATGTATATTTTTTTTCTGAAACAATAAATAACAAGCAAATAAGTAAAGTAAACTTTGTTCTCATCTTATAATAAAAAAAAAAATTTAGGTAATATTATACTTGTCTGTATTTACAATAAAAAGTCAGTGGAGTATGATAAATGTATTATATATCATATAGTTATTATATTACATATATTACGTAATAGTAAAACAAACTTGATTTATACATTTATAGTTTTTTTATTTGATTAATACATTGAATTGTATTCTATGTATGTATAAATGATTAATTTATTAATATTATAAAATACAAATTTTCATTTTCAAATAATATTTTTTTATTTATAGTCTATGGGAGATAAAGTTACAAATATTTGGAAAAGAGCCAGCGATGAAGGTGAAAATAGGGAAGAAATTCCTTGGCATCTAAAATATGGTGGTAGAACACTTGGTACATTTGCAGGAATCGGTATGAAGTATAATTTGTTTTTTCATTTAATATAATTGCATAACTTTTTATTGATTTAAATTTAATATTGTTTTATTTTCAGTTAATATATTTACTGGTATTTGGAATGCAGTAGCAATATTGTTTTTAAATACTGATTGTGTGTTTGGTGGAGCTATTCAGCTGTATGTATAATAATTATCTATGAATTTTAAAATATTTTATTTATTTATTTAAAACTATATTAAATTTTAATCTAAAATTATATATTTTGTAATTTCAGACTTGTAGGATTCTTACTAATAGCATTAGAAGCACCTTTTCTTTGTGTATTTATTGATTATATGCAGCAAGTTAGTGATATTGCTGAAAGTAAACCATATTGGACTAGAGCTGTTTTCTATATCATGTAAGAAATATGTCGTAAAAGTTTTTAGTAAATTGATAGTTCTAACTTAATGATTTAATATATATTTATAATATATTATACAATTCTTTATTTATTTTATTTTTTTAATGTACTTTTTCAGAGTATCCATTATACCATTAATTCTTTGTTTCGGACCAAGTACACTTATTGCCAGTGCTTTAGTTTTTTGTACTGGTTTATTGTATGGTCTTATGTCGGTTGGAAAAAAGTAAGTTATTATCAATTATAATTTTATCCATTAAATTTATTAAATTTTCACATCTGTATAAATATTATATCAAATGAGTGCCATTAATATTTGTCAATTATGAATGAATATTATTGTTCTAAAAACACTGGCTTTTTGTTTTGTGTTTGTTCTAATACATACTTAATAGAGGATCTAGGGAAGACATGGGCGCAATAGCTTCTCCTGTTGATAACGTCTCTCAACCTATGGGCGGACATCACACAACATTCATGGATGATCCTGATGTGTGGCGTCCTACTTAAGGCAAACTTAAATAAATCTTTATAGTGTATTTTTGTTGCTTATATTATTGGATGGTTATTTATTTTAAATGTTGTATACAAATGCACATTAAATAGACCAGACAAATACTATTATATAGATTGTTGATGTATCACTTCTTTAGTTTTCATAATTTATTTGTAGTAACCAAGGTTCTATCACATTTGTTATAAAATATTTATAGATTTGATTTATGATCCTCAATTTATTAAACTGCACGTCCTAAAAACTAAATTTATTATTTAAACTATTTTATTTGTTGATTTAAAATTAATTAAAATGTTTGAAATTTATTTTTAATAGTATATTTTTATATTTACTCTTTTATTAATATTTTAATATTTGTTTTTAGAGCTTCAGCTGATCAAATGAAATCAACTGCATCTACGTTAGAGCCCTGAGTCATCCACAACATTAGTAGAAGAATATCATATTTAAGCCCCAAGGACTCACTTAAAACCAATTTAATATTAAGTTATTGATTCCTGAATGGTTACATAATCCTTATTGTCTACATGCATTCCAATATATCACGGTCTCTAAATTGATACTCATTTATTTTGGTACTCTATTGATGAAAATATTTAAGTCCCTTAATTTTCTTTTTAATTACCTTAATAACCTTAATTTTACCTTTTTTACTCATGGTTTTTGTTTTCTTAAGATTTTTATTATTCAATAAAATTAATGTATAACTATACTTAATAATTTGTTTTAAAATTCTCTGATCCCGTGAAATTTATTAACTAATACATCATGATAATTATCTTAATTATTATAAACCTTTTCAAATTTTATAAATTTTATTTAAATAATCTTTAAAAAATGACTACAGAATCTCTAATCACCTTGAAAATGTTTTTTATTTAATTGAATAATACTAATGATATGTAATTATAAACATAATTATATTAGTATTCATTTAAAAATTATAGGTACTCCATTATTTTATTTATTGTTTAAATTTATGGTTTAATGATTTATATGATACAGCAATCCCAAAAAATTAATACTCTTTTTGAATAATTATTTATAATACCTCTTGAACGTTCCTGCAATTGTATAAATACATTATGTATCAGTTTAATTGAAGTTAATTGTTATAATACATGTGATATAATTAATTTATATTAGCAACTTATTACTTAATATCAGTCATATCTTAATTAAAAAAAATAAAATAAAATATTTAAATTGGAATAGCAAATTACAACATAAGTTTAACTAAAAATTTTCAATACTGATTAGGTGTACTTCTTCAATTTATTGTCAAGTTTATACAAAGTGTTGAACAATTTAATTTATTATCATTAAAAATATTTTAAGCAACCTGAATAAATAATGAAAAAATACATTTTTTACTACATCAACTTAAATTAATTTTGCCTAGTCTTGATTATTACAGATTTATGTAACAGTATGATTAATATTTTCAAGTGACTTGAAGAGTTATCAGTATTACTACAAAAGAATATGATGTTTGTGTTCATCTTTATTTATAAATTTAAAATTTAAAAAATCTTAATTGATATAAATTTTGAAAATTTGATCAAGAATTTGATGGCAAAATTAAATTAAAAAATGTTTTCTAGTAAAATAATTTGAATTTTTACAACTTTATTTTTTAAAATAATTGTTATGACTTATTTATTATAATAATTATAATTGTTGTTTTATTTGTAATTTGTATTTATCAATTTTAACGTGTGAGCAGTTGATTTATAAAAAAAAAAAAAAAAACTAAAATTTATCTAAAACACTTAAATATTGTTTTTAAAATTTAAACTGTCCGAGTACAAACAGTAAAATTAGGATTATTTCTCCAAAATGTAATATAATAAGCAAATTACTTAATAATAATAATCTTAATATTTTAATTCTAAACACGTAGTTTTAAAAGTCCTTTTTTAATAAGATTTAGACTAAATTTAACTATCTTTAGTATTATGTTAGTCTAGGTTGTTTTAGGTCATCTTATTTATTAGGTTGTCTAGGTTGTATAAGTTGTTTTTATGTATTCAAACATATTATCAATAATTAAAGACAGTTTATTATACTAAGTCATAGATAAATAAACATCGATTATTGTTTAAAACTTTAATTCTAAGTTTAGACTTACACATATATAATTATTGTTAATTTATATAACCATAATAATATTTGTATTATTTGGTTAATCGTTCATTACTTATATAATTTAATGGTAGAAAATATAATACTATGTATGCTCTAATATATATTTTATGGGTTATACAATAAATTATTAATCACTATTTAAAACATATGCCATTTGTATTGTTTTTTAAATTTAATGTAAAATTGACAGTCAATTATACATTTATATGACCTATTTTTTGTCAATATTTTCTATATTTTATTGACAAATTGTATGTATAAATTGTTTTAACTTTTGAAATTGATTATCTGTTATAGCAATAGTGTGGTAATATTAGATGTTAAATTAGATTACTTAATTATCATATTTTAGAATTTTAAAAGTAAAAATTTGCTTTTTCAAGTAAATAATATTTTAAATAATTTAATTTTTGTAGTAATATTACAACTAAATTAAATGCCAATATTTGATTCTTAATTTCAATATATTTTCACCGCCCATTTTAAATGGATTTATTTTTATTAATAAATGTATTCATATACAATATTAATGAGGAACAAAGTAATGGGGATGTATTATCTTCTATCATCGAGATGTTTGCAATTATTTCTTTCTTCATATAATTACTTATATTTATAGTTGATAACATTATTGTATCAATGTCTGTATCCTATATAACATGTACATAACAATCGGTTGTTATTTGTATATATCAGGTAAAATATTAATTTACTGACATGAAAATTGATTATTTAGTGGATTTAGTTAATATTTAATTTTTAATTAGTTTTCATTAAGAATTGACTTTTATTTGCAACTTGAACTTAATAATTTGAATACAATGATATCAAATTATATATTAAAGGTAATATTGTTAATATTGAAGTAGGTATTAAATTAAAGTATTCAATATAAAATTACTACATTTCAATTTATTTATTTATTCTTTTATTATTAAATAGTGCTAGTTCACCTAAAAAAGTATTTCTGAACTATTTCAAAATTATTTCACATCAACCAATAGTATAGTATACGAAAATACTAGATAGGAACCTTCAATCAAGTTGTTTTCAATTGCTAATTAATTAAAAATGAATTACTATGTACTTTATTGTGTTACTTAATTATTATTAATTATTAGACACCAATGACAATTCGTCGAAAAAAATACAATTTTAATTTCGGTTATTTATTTTTGCGTCGTTTGATTTTGTGCAAAACCCTACTACAGAATAATATCTTTATTTGTTTTATCATGGTATTATAGACGTATGGCATAAAGCATTTTGTAGGTATTGCTTTTAAAGATTGAAATTTATATGAAAGTTAAGAGAAATGGCAGATTTTCGTGAACACTACACTTGGTCCTCGTATAAGACCATAAAGTTACGAAGCAGTTAAAAGTTACACTATCACGTAAGTCGTTAAAAATATTCCCCTATGAGTACCACGGGACAGTTGGGTTTTTTACTATCGCTAAAATTCATCTTGCTTTCATCCTCCTGAAGACGATATCACCCGCATTCTGACGCCACTGAATTAAAAATTTGATTGTACAATTATCTACTAGCCTACTCAATGCGGTTGTATACCTACCTAAGGTGTTAATTTATTTTTTTTAAGTATTAATTATAATACATATAGAACCTATAAGGCCATAACTGAACTAAACCAAGTAATTTATAATAGTGTATTATCTTTTTTTTCCACGAAATCGTTTAATTTTTTACTTCTACCCTAAAAATGATTTATTAATCGAACTGATATTTTCAAATTAGTCACGAGTTTACCAGAACAAAGTTCGAAACGTCTTGGAACTTAAGCAAGAAATTTATTGTGTCTTCAACTAACTTGATGGGGCAATGTGTTGTTCAGTGATGGTAAATTTTATGGAAAGAATAATCGCCTGTAGGGCTAATAGTCATGTATGTTAGGTTCAGTGGCGTAAATTGGATCCAATTTCTGGTAGTGCAGAGGCATATTCTTAACTTAGAATTTTCAACACACCAATTTTCCAATTTCCTAAGTAAAATTCTTCCCAATAAACTATATACTTTTCCATATATTTCTTTAAATAACAAATAAATTTTGAATTATTTTAGCATTAAAACCTTTATTATTATAATATTAATAAAAAAAAACGATCAAATTTTGTTTTTAGTATGCTGATTTCCTTGGCTCTTGAAAATAATTTTATAGGTATACAAATTTCAATGATTTTCTGGTGATGCAAAAACATATCTTTGTACCATCACATTTTAGATGTGGTGTAGCAAGTACCTCATTTGCACCATCCAGTTTACGCCACTGGTTAGGTTCATATGCCCAATATTGTTTTCACTGTTAAACCTTAACTTCTCTTGAAGAGAACGATATATTTGTTATGTTTTATTGAAAGAAATAAATTTAATTTATATCAGATTTAAATCCTGCGTTATTTTTGAAATATCCTATATTATTACAGCACTCAATGTTTTCAATATGTTTTTACAACAATTTAATTTTAATAATTGCAGTTACATTAATTTTTTTTCCGGGTGTGGTACAAAATACCGAAACCCATGGACCGAAATACAAAGTAGTCGACAAATTAAAAAGCCTAACGATAGAATAGAAATAATATTGGTCGATATTTATTTTTAAAAACTAGAAAAAATATTATTAAATTATTGTTAATATTATTAATATGATATAACATTTAAATTAAAAAATATTAAATTATATTTTTTTTTAGCTGCTTCTATAACTAAGCGGCTAGTTTCTGGTGCGTGATTAAATACGGGAACTTTTTTCTCAGATTACATCGGATTACGTGGACATATTGTGATAATTCGAGTATTACAATAATCGGAATAATGTGTTTATCTTTTGTGAGAACGTTTTTCGCATTCTGAGTAAAAAATATTTTGCCGTTGTATAGTTTTTAATAAAACATAACCATTATTAAATAACTTATTTTTAATAATTTAATTTAGTTCCGTGATAATAAACTTAATGTAAAATGTACTTAAAAAAAATAAACCGTCAAACAAGTAGGTACAAACGAACACACGCGAACAGACACTTTACAACTAAAATGGTACCTGGAAGCCGGAATAGTAGTTAGTGTCTGGATTTGTTCATAAATGAAATCTTAATATATAATTTTATTTTTGTAGATGTGTTAGATTTGTTAAAGTCACATTAGTTTTATTTTCAATGACTTGGTCTTATATATAGGTTTATAAAACTGTCGTCGATAGAAATTGTATGATATAATCAATAATCATTATATATACCAAGTATCTATTATACAATATCAATATGATATTTAATAAGTTGGTTATACTAATGAATTGTAATTTTGTTGGTTAAAATTCCTACATTTTCGTTGTAGAGAATTGTTGTACAAGTTAAAGCAGCTATCTAGCGAAAAAAAGGTTGTTTTATTTCATTCGGCTCACAGTTATGTATTGTCGGCTAGGTAATTTGATTCTGCCAATTGTCCGTCTCTATTTTTTCCTGTAGCAACTTATGTACCTGGATATT